TTGAATTGATCAATAGATAGATTGGATTGGTTGAATTGATCAATAGATAGATAGATTGGTTGAATTGATCAATAGATAGACTGGATTGGTTGAATTGATCAATAGATAGATAGATTGGTTGAATTGATCAATAGATAGATTGGATTGGTTGAATCGATCAATAGATAGATTGATTGAATTGATCAGTAGATAGATAAATAGGTTGAATTGATCAATAGATAGATAGATTAGTTGAATGAATCGATGGATCGATTGATTTGAATAAATGATTTGGATGGATGATCAAAGATTTGTGAATATTTCGAGAAGCATGAATGATATCATTCAAAAAGAGAGGAGGAAATTGAGAGAATGAATTGAAAAATGATATTTGATGGAAAGAATTGAGGAAAAAGAAAAAAAAAAAAGAAAAAAGAAACAAGAAGAACAAGAACTGCAGCTGTTTGAGGTTTACAAAGGTGCTAAATCAAATAAATTGATGTTAAAGAAGAAAAAAGAAAGTTAAATTTGCTCCTTTTTAAATTTAATTAATTTAAATGAATTAAATTTATTAAGTAAATTTGATTTCTTATAAAATATATTTATGATAGAATCATTCAAAATTTATTGATAATTAATAAATTAATAGATAGAAATATTTGTATGAGATAATTTGTATTAATGCAATTAGCATGATAATAATTAATATAAATGCATTTTGCAACAAATATTGATACCAGTATAAATCTATCATGCTGCATATTGTTATCAATGCATGCATGCGTCATCCTGCATGTTGCAATCAATTCATGTATACGTCATTTTGTATATTGTTATCAGTGCATGCATGCATCATCCAGTATATTGCAATCAGTACATTGCATGCATCATCCTGCATATTGTAATTAATGCATGCATGAATTTATAATCGATTCATTCCAATTTTAGAATATATTGCAATAACTGCATATTGCAATCAGTATATGCATATGCTATCATACATACTGCAATCGATGTATGCATGTGCTATCGTGCATATTGTAATCAGTATGTTGCATGCATCATCCTGCATATTGTAAACAGTACATTGCATGCATCATCCTGCATATTGTAATCAGTATATTGCATGCACCATCCTGCATATTTTAATCAATACATAGCATGC